TGTGTGTGTATATATATATATATATATATATACACACACACATATATGTATATACTTTATCTTATTTTATTTGCATCCACTCATTTGCATCCGACGGCTGCAAACGATATTTTGCTTACTTTTGGCAGAAATTATAAACGAGGCAGAATTAAGAGAGGAAAGATTGCACAACGTCAAATAGAAAGAGATGTCTAGCCCATGATTTAGGCAAGCAGTCACACAGAACGCTGCAAGTAAAGTAAACTATAAAAACGGAACGTAAATTGTAGATAGTGACCATCATTTTTCACATCACCCCAAGGCCGGATCTCGGCAAATAAAGCACGAGCTTTTAGGTCAGGACGCAGTGACAAACATAACTCTGTGGAATGTGCAGGAAAACGCAACAGCGATTGAAATCATCCAGCATGCAACACATTCCCTCATTGTGTCATTCCTAGGATGTCACACAGCTTAGTCATGAAGGTATTCGGTAGTTCGTCTGATAAATGAGAGCATGAAACTGCAATGACAAGGCGTCTTGGAATGCCTGTGACTGGATAATCAGGAATTTCATTACCGAAGTTCATTGACTTACTGTAACACATGGACGTTGTTGTCCTTAAATACTTCTTAGCCCTCTATAATTACAGCAAGAATATATATTTAGAATATATATATTTTTTCATTTAAAAAAAACAAACAATGCAGATATTCACTTTACATAAAGCAGCGAAGCTACAAATCTAAATAAATAATAGTACAATATTTTATTATTATTTAGCCTGATCATTTTATAAGTTCCGGTCATCTCTCTTACTGTGCTGCAGGATTTGGGCCAAAGATGTCGACAGACTCAGCAGGAGGAACTGTTGACCCACAAAGTGAAGTCATGCGTAGGTGCGAGGGCAAAATTAAGTTCACCTCACGATCCAAAAGCTTGTCTTTATCAGCGGATCACATTGTTGTGGAGGAATTTTGGACCAATGTTGATCAGTTAATAAAGGGCTTTCCATCAGCAGCACCTGGCTGCTTCTTTACATTTTCAGTACCGTAGAAGGAGTTTTTCCAGCCTGTTCAGTTTGGCTTCATTTTTCTTTAATAATTACAATGTGGAATTTTGCTTATGTCTTTGCTCACCTGAGGTAATGTTAGATCGTTTCAGAGCCTGGGAAAGACCAAAAGATTTGAATAATGTCCTGTTACAAAACCTATCGAGATGGAAAGTCCACCTAAGCAGACAGACTCGGCCGGAAAACTATTTATCAGAAAAAGAGCTAAGGGCAAAGACACTTAGCCTGTTGAAGTACAAAGCCTGAAGAGACAACCGCAGCCTTGCAATTGGAACAGAAGTGCAACTGCAATCTACCGTGTTGACTCAGGGAGTTTAATACAAATACAAGCTACATATTTCCAAAGGTGTGTAGAGTAGAGACAACTGCTAACAGTACCTTGTTTTCTAATGGTTACTTCAAGTATATATGTAGTTAGTCACTACCCAACAAAATTTGATTTGTAGGTGCATCCACTTCACAATTATTTACCACATAAAATACGTTGAAGTGGGTTGTAATGTGACAAAATATAAAAAAAAGTATCAATGTCTTTGAATAGTTTTGGAAAGCACAATGACCTTTATGTTTACAGTCAAGAGAGAGACGTGCAGTTTTCCACTGCACACTGCTAAATCCCACAGGGGCCATAAGTTTCACATGATGTTACACCAAAGCTCTCACAGGGACGATAATTTGCAGAGCTGTCGGATTGTTCCCTTTGGTTCGCCATTGCTAAGGACGTGTGTTTTCTATTCGATATGTGAGCAAGACAGTGATCTGAATGAGACGGAGACTGGAAGTGGGTGTTTTGGGCAGGACCCACCTGTCCCTTCCCTCCGTCCCACAGAGCCTCCAGCCTCAACTGGGCCAAACAGGCAGAGTCCAGTCGGCCATCGGCTGACCATGTTCGTGCACCAGGGGCCTCGACAGCGAAATGCCGAATGCTCTAATTAAGCTTATGCTGTTTGTCTACTTTTCTGCATCACAGCATGCCAGGAGGGCTGTGAGTCACGCTTCCTGACTGGAAAGCCACAGACACTTGCTTCCAGGGTTGCTTAGGGAGGGGTGTATCCTGTCCCGCAGAATGCTGGGACTGTAGCATGGCATTATGGCGAGAACAAAACAACACAAGGCCAGAACAAGAAGGCCTTATGGGCAGAGAGCGCACCACCACAAGGCTCTGACATTTCAGGATGGCCATGTTGCTAACAACACCTTTTGTTTTCCGCCGGTTATCGAAATTGCGAACACAAACCTGTGCGGAGGAGAGAAATTGCCGTGTCATTAAGCTACAACGAACACATCAGTGGAGAAAATGCCCATTTAACATGGTGACACTAATGCATTTATTTTCAGTTATCGTCATCTTACAGACTTTATTGTAAAATGAAGCATGATTCAACATGGCAGGTATAATTACAAAATGCAAATATGAGCAATGGGGAGAAGAACAGCAGAGCTTTTCACCGGCAGGGTAGATTACAGATTACAGTAATTGCAATTCTGCCATAATTAGAAATGTAGCGCTTTGACACAAAGAGCAGACATGGTGGCTCACACACGATATCTCTGATATCTTCTTAACAATGGAGCAAATACCCAGAACATTAATCAATACGTAATTGCATTTCTAGTATTTTTACGTCTATCAAACTACTTATGGATTATTATCATGTCACTAACTTGTTTGCAGCTCTTTGATATCTAAGTTATGCGGAAAACTAAGACACTCCGTTGAATGTTCTGGTTTGTGTTAAGAAATACGGTAACACTAGTTTAAATCCCTCGTCAGGCTCATAAGTTGAGGCAAATTCTTATCATTTTTCTCCTAATGTGATACACATTTGGAGGCCAATGTGTGAGAGATTTTCTCACATGAAAATGATTTAAAAAAAGTGAGGTGCTCTGTGTAGTTTCAGAAGCCATCATGTTTATTTAAGGGATTTACACCTCAGTATAACAATGGTGAAACTAGTGTTTCAGGTTCAACATTATATACACAAAACGTGGCTTTACGAAAATAAATACACTCGAATCCGATTCCTACCCATCTCTGTTATCCTCTTCGTCGGGGTTGGAGATGAGCTGGGATCCAGCCAGAGATATGTCCAGGGCTGCCAAAGGCAAGTCTCTGTAGGTGAAGTTGACCAGCTGGACTGGAGCCACGCACTGGTTGTCCTCCTCCACCTGTTGGGAGATGACCTCCAGATCCGAGGCTCCACCCTGGGGAGGAGCTCTGTGACACAGAAGGTAGACCACAACCAAAGCAACAGTACAGTTAGGGTGCTGAATGAGTCATGGTTTAGTTGATTAAAGATGAACTTAAACATTTTGTATTTAGGTTTTCAACATGTCCATACCTTGACATATTCAAGGGTCTTGGTGTATCTAAATTTTTAGAGCATACTTCAAGTTTTTGTATGTTTGTTTGTTTTAAATGTGGCTTAATTTGTGTTGAATAAATACTGACATGACAGTATTTGTTGTGGGTTTGGTTTTCTAAAAATTAGACTTAATTTTGCAGGTACAGTTTTAATGTTAAACCCCTAAAATTGCAAGTGGGTGTACTCCTCTATTTACTACTGTATAAATGTTGTTAATGCAGACTATCTAAATCCAAGTTCTACATAATACATGAAAATAAACTCCAAACATTCACCAGATAAATACTGATAATCAATGAAGACTTGTTTATGGGACACATAAAGCGAAAACATTTGCCCAGAATGCAATGATAATCTGACATACATGATTAAATGCCAAAATGCTATAAAGACAAGTCTTTCAATTGAAGATTCAGCACGACTTCTTCACTGCACCATTGTCAAACAGTCACGCTAACTGGACAGCTTACATTAATTGACCAAAGCCAAGAAATGGCATTGCACTTCTCTCGCGTTCGGAATTGTATTTTCGTTTTTAGCTTCATCTTCTTTGAGATGTTAGCTAAATTTGGCAGAACCCGGCAAAATATCGTTCTGTCTTCCACTGAACTTGAGTACATAGAGAGGACTGCAATCCGAGTGGGTCAGCCAATAGCGGGCAAGGATGAGTCACCCTGGAATAGGAGACACACATTGCTTGGCAGCAATCCCAGAGCAGCCAGTATGGGGACATCAATAACTGGAGTACTTATCAGTGGAGGAAGGCATTGATTACAAGACAGGGAGAACAAAAGCCAAAAGGGGTTGGTGAATTTTGCAACCTCTGTGATAGAGGGGTGGCAGTGGGGAAACAACTGGTTAGAAGATGATCACAGACTGGAAAGGAACATTCGCAACATGGCAAATCAAAAATATTTGCTTCTCAAACTTAACTTATTGTTTAGCCCTCGCAACATGAGATGCCGGAGCCGTTTTCTTGCCGCCTCTTTTGTAATGCCAGTGGAGCTATAATTGCATTTTTCAGCTCGAGGGTCAAACATGAACACGGCACAAAATGTGCCTTTGCATCCCAATTTTATCCATGGAGCTGGCACCTCTGACAAGCTGCAACAAGGACACTAATCATTTATGACAGACACAAACTGTTTAGTGCATCAATATCACATTTTTAGACAGTCGTGAAGGAGGCCAGGAGCAATTGTGTGCGGAACCCAGGATAAGATGGCTAATTGCCATCCCGAGGTGGGAGCAGGCGCTTCCCATCTGAAGACATTGTGAAGCAGTCTGCTCAAGGCTAGGCTGTTTTCAAAAAAAAAAAAAAAAAAAAAAAAAGCTACAGCAGTGAATGACACAAGAAATGAAAAAGGAGAGCGTGGACGGCTTCAGGGACAGGGTGTGCAAAATGTATGCCTGGGCACCTTAAGCAAGAGGTCCTAATTACAAACCTAAAACACATTAAATGATCCTGTTGTTACAGCCATGTCAGAAATGTCCTCATTTATGATTTGTGGTGTCCCCAGAAATAAAGTGATTCATTTGTTATTCTAGAATGTTTCTTTTTTTGTGTGTGGCAAAAGCACAATGATTATATAAAGATTAACAACTAAATTCAACTCAATGTTGCAGCAGTTTATCCTAACGTAGCAGGATGCATGACTAATATCCTTAATCTGCAGGGGACTTTCTGTGACTGAAGAAACTAATATAATTTTAAAAACAGACAAAGCAAAACAAACTGCACAAATCTAGGTTGCATCCAAATCTAAAAATCTTAAATATTCATGTATTTGAAATGTAAACCTTTATTTCTTGTTAGAAATATCTGAAACCCCTGTGAAAAGAGAAAAACACAACCATGTTTTTTTTTTCTTTTTTTAATTAATATATTCAAGTCTGAAAATACTTAATTCAGTGAACAGTTTATATTGGCATGGAAATTTACATAACCCTTTCAGCTTAAGCAATAATCATGCATTGATAAATTTTATGTTAAATAAAATGTGAACACAAAAATTGATAGACCGCTCGTTAATACGGAAATATCGTCCTTATCTCTTTGTGTCACAAAGCAACATCTAATTACTGTCGAAGCTATCATCGTGAACTCTGGAAATGAAAGAGAGCGCTTTAAGAGTGACGAAGTGCTAGATTTGCTGTGCTGTGAAAAAGAAAATATTCCCCCCCCTTACAGATTTCTTTTGTTTTTGCATTATTGGCACATTTAAATATCTCAGGCCATTAAACAACTTTTAATATCAAAGATTGTACTGAGTAAATATAACAAAATGCTTCAAATTATAATTTTGTTTAAGTAAAAAACAAAAAACAAAAAAACTATGCTAACTATCTGTGCCATAACCAACAAGTCTGTGTTGGGCAATTGGCCACTTGTTGCACAACAACAATAATCTCATCCAAAACAGTTTGCATTTGTAGTTAGAACATTGTTGTTAGCTTCTTATATAGACTAAAAGTACCATACACATTACGTTTAAATATTCTATATTTTTTGACAATAGGAAACAAGGAAAATCATTACCAACAATTTATTTGTGTGGCTATTGGCTATTTTATTTTTTGGCTTCTGTGAGGTGCTGCCATTAGCCATGTAAATGGCCCTATATTTAAATTAGTTGAATTATTGTACATTTTATTTCACTGTAACTGTAACTTTTTTTGGAGTGGAAAGTGATAACAAGGGAGGAAGGAATATGAATTAAGCACCTCAAAATAATTTAATTGAGAACTTAAAGAAAAATGATGCATGATTTAATTTCTCCTCCCACCCCCAAAGAAAATAGATACATGTATTTATATTCAGTCCCTTTTACACTAATAATTATGAGTAAAACTGCCAACTGCCTTCAAGAGTTACAAAATTAGCAAGTAAAGTCCACCCATGTGTAATTTAATAGAACAAATCCAGCTGTTCTATAAAGGTTGCAGAGGTTTGTTAAAGAAATATAAGACACAAATAGCACAAGTAAGACCACAATGCACAGCAGACAGGTCAGAATAAAGCTGTGAAGAGATTTAAAGCAGACCTAGTCTATAAAACAATGTCCCAGGCTTCGAACATCTCACCTAGCACTGTTTAATCCATCACTGAACAAATGAAGAGAGTGTCATGCAATTGCGAACCTATACCAAGACATAGCTGTTCACTTAAACTCGCAGGCCTGGCAAGGAGAGCATTTATCAAGGAGCTGCAGAAATCTTCAGCTCAGGAACAATAAATCTGGCAATAAGACAATCCTGGCTGCTCACTTCACAAATCGAGTAAAGAGCGGCAAGAAGAAACCAGTTGGCAACCGTTGGAGTCAGCGTCAAAGCAGATTTCTGACACTTTAAAACAACTATGTTTGTAAAATATTAAATAGGGCTTCATACAAGACCTTAAAACTTTTCATACCACAGTCAGTATTTTATTAAATGTTTATTTACATCCGATGTTAGTAGCCATTTATGACCATTGAGTCTTTAGTGGTCTTTATCAAACACCTTTTGATAAAGATGGGCCCGTTCAGTGAGACCTGGTGGAATAGCTATCTATTGCAAAAGTGAAAAGGTATGATATCAGCATTTTTTTTTTTTTTGCAATTCTTGCAAATATCATTTTTAAACAGTCATATCGTTAGAGACAGTTTATCTTGCTTGGTATGCCGTTCTGTTTGCAAAATTTGCTTCACTAAATATTTTGAGTACAGACCTCAGACCAATAATGCAAACAAGTATCAACTTCTACATAAATACCCGTTGAATGCAAAATTGATCATGGAATAAATGTTTTTTTTTTTTTTTTTTTTAAGCAAGTTTTCTAAAATAGCATTGCATGAACCACAATGACCTTTTGAGATTGGAATTGTGTTAAAACAGCAAAAACAAAACAAAACAAAAAACTTTGGAACTCAGATTAGCATCTGGCTCAAGTGTTCAATCCATAACTTCCGTTTTCTAACGTAAGATTGCAGATAATTCGGCAAAATGAAAGTATTCCTGTTACAAAGCAGATGCTATTGATGCATGCATCTGGTGGGAAGTCATTTCCACAAGGCTGGGCACATTAGTTCCCTGTACTTACTGTCATCTAAAGGTGTAGAACAGGCTGCGGGACATATTTTAAATAAACTAAGGGGCTGGGATTATTTACACACATACTTTCTGCTCACTGGAGCATGTGGATGAATGATAATCTGTGTCACTGAGGAATTTGTTGCAGCACCATGAGGGCTTGACAACTTGCTTGTTTACAGGTTTATTTGACAATCAGTTAAAGCGAAGCACAAGTAAATACTTAACATTACGTCTTTACGGCAATGTCCCAATTAAAGAGATGGCATACTAGATTTGCAAGATTGTTTTTCCCCATCACCACCTCACCTTGTTCTTTGTTGTGAATTCTTTTCATGATGCAGGCATCTTGAGCTTGTGAAGCACACATGACTTCTAAGTCTAAAGTTGCTTTTTAAACTTTAAATATCACTCACCAGTCAGTTTCCAAACTTTAATCTTACATTTTCATAAAATGTGGTGTTTTATATTTAGAAGTAACATTCATAGCTGAGCAAAGTTGTCATTTCAAATTCATTAGTAAAAGTATTGCAATTTTCAATTCGCTTTGTGCATGGGCTTTGTACAGTAATGTTTCAAAAACATTTTAGTTTTTTTTTTTTTTTTTTTTAATCAGACCACCTCATTTTATTATTATTGACAACAAAAGTAAATAGAAAATGCACTTTTCAAGTTATTTCATTTAATAAGGAAAATTATTTCTCCAAACAAACTGGCGCAATCTGGAAAGGTAATGACCCTGTGTTAAATTATAATTAACTGTGTCACTTTTATGGTTTCATTTAAGTCACCTACAGGCTAGTAGCTCTGCAGAATCCCCATATAACTCACACAGAACCTGAATAACAACATGAAGACGACTAAAAGATCTCCAAAGTAACACACCGTGTCCCGGTCTAAAGAGATATAGCAGGTCTTTATGGTTAAAATTATGCACAGAAAAATATAATGTACTAAAAAAATGCATTTTACTCCATGTCAATTTTCCAGTCATCACTCCTCTGCAGAAGTTGTTCTTTCACTACTAACAACATTCTGTTCATTGACGTTTGGAAAAGGATGTGCTGTCCTGATTTCTTTGCTTGCGGCACTACACCAAAATATGTGAAAAATCCAGATCTTAGATGAAAGCTTCTTGGTAGTACACACAAAAGACTACAGAGTCTGTTTGACTTGCGTCACAGTCACCAATTCATTTCCAGGCCACTTCAACGAGAATCGTGCCAACATTTCAGCCCACTGGCTGAGCATGCTCTGATGAAGGCCAGTGGGATGAAATGCGTGGTTTTCTCTTGAGAGAGATCGGTTAATGCGACCCTGTAGTCCTGTGTGGTTTATATCGAGAAGCTGTCTCCTATCTTGGTCACTTCCTGTCGTTTCCATGCAAATGTTTTGTCTCAGCCTCAGCTTTATAAACCAACTATTAAATAATCAAAAGCAGCGACAAAATGCTGGTGGGAAGCTCGAGACAAAAGACCCGATTGGCTCCAAGCAGCATCCTGCGCTTTGCAGAAGATGCAGCTGACTGAACACACTTTGCATTCACCTCTCACTCTGCTCCACACTACTCCACTTCGCTTCCTCCAACTCAGCTCCCTCCCCGTTCCTCCTTCCCCGGCCCTAACCTCCCTATAATCAGAATGCGGGGCTTGTCGGAGGGACCACACACACACACACACACACACACACACACACACACACACACACACACACACACACACACACACACACAGAGTAATTATTAATAAGAGAAGATGACATGTGAACATCCCTCCTGAATGGTAAGCGAAGCTGGCACAGGTCTGCTGCGCTCGCACTCTCAAAAGAGCTTTCCCAGAGATTCCAACTCATGTGAAGGTCAAGAAAAAGTAGGAATCTCATTCTACTAATCTCAGTATTAGTGTTACATTCACCTGGATTGCTTAAATCTTAATACTTTGCCACGTTTTGTACTTACTGTGTATTGCTCATGTCTTGTTGCTGCTAATATGTCTTCTTTAAATGAAGCCAGGAGCTACATCCACCACTGCAGAGATCTGGTCAGGACCATATCTACAGATAAAAGACATGCAAAAGTACAAAAAAATAAATAAAAAAATAAAAATATAACACGACAACAACCACAAATTTAATCTTCTTATGCAGGGTGTAATTACAGTCAGCGTTATGAAACATAAAGCTGAAAGAGACAAAAATTTATGAACGATAATCAATGAAATACCAGTGTCAGTTTTGAAAGATGCCTTACCTGAACTGTGGCTTTAGGTGCTTTTCCAACTATTTTCCTTGGAAGCACTAAATTGTAATTGATTTTAAATCTTGTCCAATATATACGATCCGCTCTGTGGATCGAGGGCTCAGGAACTTCACACCCCTTGCATAGTAAGTGCAGAGGGATGCTTGCTCTTTGTTCCCCCTCACACAGAGAGCCATTTACGTCCGACTCTGCTCAGTGAAAGTCGGCCCAGCTCTTAAACAGACACGGAAAGTTACAGGTGCATCGCAGTTTATTTGAATATCTTTGGAGAATCAGACGTTATAGTTCTTCATTTCAAAAAGAGAAACTTCTGAACAGCTGTGGTAAAAATACATGCAGGGTTTTTTTTTTTTTTTTTAAAAAGGAACCAAATAAAGTTTAAAATCTTTTGAAACAGGTTTTATTTCCATACATCTAAATGTATTATTCAGAAGTAAAGCAGTCTGCATTTTTCTTTACAACCAAAAATATTTAAAGTAGTAACTGAAATATTGTGGAAGGCACAGCTTTCCAGTTAATCACTGAACTAATATTTAGTTGTACAACCAGTGTTTCTGAAAACTACTATGTATTCTTCTATGTGTTGCAAGGAGAAGAACAACTCCTGGAACCTGTGAACTGGTACTGGAACCCAAAGTCATTGGACTATATTTCATAATAACTGCTTGTTATTTTCTCATAAGCAGCACTTTTAATCTGACCCCACATTGGGCTAATGAAAGCCTCAAATTTAGTTTTTTTTTATTATTATTATTTGAATATTGCTTAGAGCCACTAAAACAGATTTTTAACATTAAGTATTTTATGGCCATTTATAGCTTCCAAGTTAACACTTGACAGCTGTCCATCAACACTCCCACAATAACCGCAAAATGTCACTGCTAAAATAGCTGCCTGTTTATAGAACGCAGTATACATCTTAAATGAAGGTTTAGTGGAAGGATAAAGTGTGATAGAAAAGGTGCACGAATAAAACCAATTCAGGAATTGGGCAGTTGCGTGAGTCAGTGCTGCAAAAGTCACCACGCATGGAGGGCATGGGCTACAGCTGTCACATTCCTTTTGTGTTAAATCACACATGAACCAAACACAATGTCAGAAGCACCCTAAGCGGGTGGAGGGAGAAAAAAACAAAAAAACTAACATTAATTGATCGAAAGTTTTTTCATGTCAAATAAATGTAACATTTGAGCTGGACATTAATGTCTACAAAAGACACAGAATCATAGAAGTCCTGTGTGAAGTTTCCACACTCTGTCAGGATTTGATTTAATCTGCTGGTTTTGGCTCAATGTGTTTTATCAAGTCTACAATTATTGCAGGGAAGTTTTAGAGCACACCATGTTTTACTTTGCTAAAAAGAAATAACTCTATAGAGATGCTACTTTCCAATTAGTTTTAACATTCTTTGTCTTAGAGAAACAATATTCTGGGTTTTTATTAGCTTTAAGACATAATCAACAAAATAAACAAACAAAAACTGTATTAGTGGACAGTGAAGCTCAGTTTCTGTTTCAAGCGAACGATGGGGATAAACTAACATTTTAATGATATTGTAATTTACTGAAATACACATACGTACCTACAGTAGTGCTTAAATATAACCCAATAACGTCAGATAATCATCTTTGTGTAATATCAATATGAATCTGTTGGTAATGTGTGAAACCCAGGCTACCCTTTAAACACTCATTGTCAGCATTCACAGCCGGAGAAGCACAGCAGATTAAATGCTGCTCAGGAGAAATCAACACAGGTCATTCAAGGGCTGAGAGTGTTTGTTTCACTGCAGCGCTCCAAAAATATGGACTTTGGAAAGAAAAGAAAAAAACAAACAAACAAACAAACAAAAAAAACACCCAGATGATCTGGAGACGAGATGTGTTCAAAGTCAAAGAGGTTAACACTTTCGGTGATTGTTACACTGTAGAGGTGACCAAAAGGAAAAGTGACAAACAGGGATCGAATTTCCCAATCAGCATCTTGAGTTGACCCTTGTTCCAATAAGTGCTGCAGCCAATAGCGTGTGCGCTTCCCGAGTGAAGGAGGTCGTCCACAAAGGCACTCATTTTACTAGGCTGTTTCATTTCGTGTAACAATCACTCTGGGCTATTTCTGGCCACTCTCTCGGCATTTAACGTAACAAGGAGGCAATTCCAATCATTTCCCTTCAGCTCTATAAACAGTTATGAGGCTGTTAACATTTCCATTCTGCGCTTAGCTTAAATTCTCATTTATGATTCAACCAACACACACACACACACACACACACACACACACACACACACACACACACACACGCACACAACCCCCATTAATTATCTTTAGGCTTTAAATAAAAACACACTGACCTCTGGAGTATATTCTACATGGTCCCTTCTCCATTGACCACACAGCAGTGATGGTGATATCCTTTCCTTAGCCGATTATTGTTATTATTATTGTAATGATGATGATGATGATGATGATGGTGATCGGTGTGACTGAAGCTCGGATCTTCCTGTGTGTAGGCAGCGATTAGGCTTAAATCTGCGTCGACTGCGCACACGTATCGCTTCTTCTCAGAGGACAGCGAACACCTCCTCTGGGTTGGAAGCACCATCCTTTAGCGGAGACGACGAGGCTTTCACCGGATCAGTAGATGCATAATGTGCTTGCAGGGCTTCCCCCACAATCACACCAGGGACTCCATGTGCCTGATGATGATGATGAGGATGATGATGAGGATGATGATAATAATAATAATAATAATAATAACAAGAGCTGCTCGACGGGGAGCTGTCCAGGTGCTGAAAACGGGATGCCAGCGGCTACAGAAGTGCGGTGGGAGAAGCCAGCGCAAAGGAGACTGCACACAGTTTTCATTAAGAAGCGCAAAATGCAGTCGATCGAGTCATAAATGTAGTCCATGATAAAGACACGGAGACGGCATTCTGTACGTCCCCGTTTCTGTGCCACTCTGGAAGCGTCGACGTAGGAAAGCGCTCTCGCTTCGCTTTACCTCCCGAGTTCCTCGCGATAACAACCCACCCGCACGGAAAAAGAGAAATGCACAATATTCAGGTACTTTAAAGGCTTCCGTGGCGGCAGTCAGAGTGTTAAACGCGGTCTATGAGTTTGCAGTGTCGCCGTTTGCATTTCTCTAAACATTTACCACATGGCCTTACATGATAATAAAAAGGTCAGGTCATGTTATGAAGGCTGGTAATAAAGTATACATATGTGTATGTGTTTTTTTTTTTTTGGGGGGGTGGGGGTATCTCTATATCAGGTTTACACATATAGTGGCTAAAATATGTGCAAAACTGGATGACAAACATCTTTCCACATCTATTTTTCAGCATCACCACAGATTTTCCTTTGGATCTATAGCTCTGGACCGGGACCGTGTCGCTGTAACACATGAACATGCTTTAATCTGAACCATCCCATTTTATCTTTGGCTGTATATTTTAGTGACGTTGTCCTGCAAGACATCCACTCCAGTCTCACCAGGTTTCTAACAGGATTATGTTGTGTTTTGCTCAGTCTATCTTCCAGTTCACTCTGTCCCACTTCCCTGACTCTGCTGAGGAAAAGCGTCTTCTCACCATGATGCTGCCAGTTGGTTTCAAAGCTCAATATTGCTCTCATCTGACCAGAGTTCCTTCCTCCATATGTTTCATGGGACCCCTATTTGGTTTGTGGCAAACTGCAAATGGGACATTTTCTTTTTAAGTAATTGCTTCTGTCTTGCCACTCTGCCACAAAGTCCAGATTTGTAACTTGCACACTTCTCCTATTTCTAATGGGAGTCTTTGCAGCTCATCTGGCCTTAATTGAAGAATGCCGAGAAGAAAGCTATTTCTGAAAGAAAGCCAGCAGACATGTAGTTTTGCCAGGAGTTACGAGGCAGAAACCACAAACATGTGGATAAACTCGCTGTGTGCAGACGAGATGAAAGGTTTTTGCCTACATCCACAATGCTGAATGACAGAAAACTAACAATGACTATTTCCTTCAACACATCACCTCCATCGTGAAGTATGATAGTGGCATCATCATGCTGTGACAAATACTTTTTTTTTTAATAAGGAAGAGAGAAGCAGGTCAAAGTTCATGGGAAACAGAGGGAGCTAAAAACACAATATTGTTTGAACAAAACCTGCAAGAGGCTGCAAAGGGCTCAATAATGGAGCAGAGATTCACCTTCAAGCAGGAGAACTACCTTGAACATTGAGAATATTTTGCTATGGGTCCTTTGAACTGCCCTCATTAACAAAAAAACTGTCATTTTATTTAGATGAATGCTACAGATGCAGATCAGAGACCATGAATGACTTATATGTCTGTGGCTGGCACTAGAAAACACAGATGCTAAGATCATGACGTGAGTTGATATGTTAGTCAGTTGATGGAGCATCAGAGAGTAAATTAAATTAATATGTCAACATGAAATGCACTTGACACCCTGATAAGAGTCATATTAAGGTGTCACACCCTGTGGTCCATGGACATTTCACAGTCAGAACTCATATAGGAGAGAAGATCAGGTAAATGTTGCTCAAGAAACCCCAGTTCAAGCATCGAAATATCATCGTTGATAAAAAAAAAGTTCAATGCTGGATAAGTCCTTCCAACTTTTCCTTCTGAAGGATTCAATGTTTTTTTTGGAAGTGATTGCATTTACTACGAAACTGAAAACCTGAAACCAAAACTTTAAAAGGAAAATGGTGCCAGGTGGTGAGTCAGCTAACGGTTCTGGGTAAAAACAATTACTCGTCTGAGAGAAGCAATGTGAGGTTTCTGTGAGAGACAGTTCTCACGATGCCATTCATGCTTCTTCGCATACCAGCAATTGTTTGCTTTCTACCAAACCCAGAAAGGCAGAATTCCCCCAGTCCGTCAAATACTTCCCTCATCTATACTCTGCCTAATGCAACAATTGATCTAAGCTTCAGCAATCAAAAAAAATAAAACCCGTCTAGCCCACATATAAGGCAAAAATGATCCAACTCGACTTAAAATCTGTTACCCAGAACATTATCGGATACTAAGAGATGGGGAGGAAGTATCAGAGGGTTGACATTTCACTTGCCATTTAAAAAAAGTGGACAAACTGCCCCTCCTGCATTCTTTTCAGCAAAAGCACGCCCACATGAGAAAACTGCATAGGTGCCGCAAAGATTTGCCTCAGGAACCAGAAGCATTTAAAGCTGGGATTTCAGGAACTGGTGAAAGGAACGTGGTAAGTGAACCATTTCTGATAGAAACTAAACAAATTAGGTTTTATGAGCGATCTTTTGATTAAGTCATTCTTCTTAAGTGTGTTTTCATAGTTGACGCTTCTAAACTCTGACAAGTTTTTTTTTCCTTTCTTTTTGGATTGGTGGAAACTAAACATATGTTCTCTCTTAGGTTAAACCACAACTAAAGCAGTTCAAATGATGGCAGGTAACTCATCCTATCAATTGTGACGATTTCTAAACGTGAAGGTGTGCTTAGAAAGATAACTAAATCCTGTAACATTTTCAGAACACGGAAAACCTTGTGATCCTCAGGAAGCTACATTTTGCATGAATGAAGCGTCATGTTATAAATTACCAGCTATGGAGACACTCTCCTGCATGTAAGTAAAATAATAAAAAAAAAACAAAAAAAACCCACAAACAAATCGATTTTACAAGCCAATATGTAAATGAGAAATATTACCGACACATTTTCTTTTTTTATTATTATTTTTAAACACTTTGGCACTTTAGCTGCAGAGAAAACTACAAAGGAATCAGATGTGAGGAGTACCACCTCCCTAGTTCTTCTCAAGATGAATATGATAGAGGATTATTAGCTGCCATCATCGTTGTAGCAATCATCGTCTTGGTGGTGCTGGCTGTTATCATTTACCATGTTCAAAAGTGAGTAAATCATTTAGAGTTATTTAAAGTTTAAGAGTTATGTGCTGAAGTAAACAAATAAAACGTAAAGTGTCAGATTAATTTTCTTTTTTTCCCCCGTGCACAGGATGGTAAAGGAAAAACCAAGCCAAAAGAACGATGCCGATCAGATGAAGAAGTTACAAGTATGAGCTCTACTGCCTACATGTACATATTTGTGCGTGTGTATGTAATATAATAATATATTATTTAATTTTGTTGCAGTTAATACAGTAATTTAGAGGACGATTCTGCATATTTTAATGTGATAAAAAAACATATATAAGAGGTTTGGAATAAGGATTAATGGTTGGGAAATGAAGAACTTGTTACATGGTAGTATATCTGTTTAAATATCCGTTTAAATGTGCAATTGAGACAACCAAATCCTAAGTTGTGAAATATCTGTTTAAAAAAACAAACAAAAAACAACCCATTGTAAATGGATGTATGTTTTTTATTTTAAAGTGGCTTAATTGCAAAAAAAAAAAAAAGAAAATATTTAATTACATGCAGATTTTTACTTTAGATACATTTTATTCATACAACTCTGTTCCTGTCACACAAACCAACCATTTACAGCCTTTTGCTGAATGCCATCAATCTCTATTTAAAGTTTTGTTTGTTATGAAGCCTTAATGTGTTTTTGGTGTAAACCATAGTTGCCTCTGGATGCATCTCAACTGGACATAGTGTTCTCACTTCCCAGAAAGCTCTTTGTAATTTCACCCGCAGCTTTCCCAAAGCTGGAAATGCGAGTACAAATGCAAAAAAATGAAAAATTATATATATATATATATATATATATATATATAGATTGTGGACAGATAAGTTACTCTTTAAAATGTTTTCCATGGTTTAACAGTTATGTTAAATAATGAATGAAACCAGGTTAAATTTGTTAATGCGGCCAATTTTTTTAAAAATCTGTAAGTACTTTATAACTATCCTACCAAGAAAAGTTTAATTAGTTTGAACTAAAGAGCTGAAATATGTGCTTAGAGGACAAGTACTTCTTTCATCAGACAACTTTAAGCCCTTATTTGTGCAAAATATAGTCATTATGCATACTCCTGGTATACTTAGCTATAATGTGTCATTTTAATTAGGCCAAAATGAGGTTTTTTCTCATTAAATTGTGGGGTGGTGCAGCCAGTACCTACACAGTACCCACGCAATTCCATTAGAAGTATATTAGGAGGGAGCTAAAGATTAGGGTGATGACAAAGAGGCCTTCTAACCTAAAAGACATAAATCGTAGTTCAAGAAGATCAATGTCCAAACATACAAGTGGAAACAGTCAAAAATGTGTTTACCATTACAAGTGTTTGTTTGTTGTAACGTCAAAGATTTTTATGAAGGGTAAAGAAGAACATCAATATTTTACATAAGATTTTTTTTTTAAAAAATACATAAATAAAATATATTTTTTAACTGATACCCTTTGTGCAACGTTTCATGTTTTGAAGTCTCACTTACCAGAAACAAAAGTCTTGGTGGAAGTAAAAATAACTGTGGATCCGGGGTTTTACTACTTCTCAGTATAGTGCTTCCACCTAGTGGTAGAACAGATTTCCTACATAGAAGAAACGAACATAAGTTTGGGTCATTTCACAAAATCTGAAATGTTCATACATTTGTAAAGCCAAGTAAGGCAATGGCAGCTTAGGAATTCAATTCTGTTACTCATTTCTACTTCCTTATGCAGTTATTACAAACCTCCACTTCCTTGTGTAATCATTTACATAAAGGAAACACTTTTTACTATTAGTATGAAAAAAATAAAAAATAAAGCAAGAGCACAAAGGAACATTTTTTAATAATTATTTGCAGACAGAAGATGAAACAAGTTGTAAATTTTAAAAAATTTACTGTCAGTTCCTTGTAGATGGGGGAAAAAAACAACAACAAATGCATCATGAAATATCCTTGAAGTTGAAACTATGAGGATTATGCACATATGTATTAACATTCCAAGTACAGTTTAAAAGAAAACTTTGAAAATATAATGCTAAACATGTGAGAAGTATAAAATAAACTACATGAAGAGACAATATCTAACAACTGTGATATCAAAACAGGAAAAAAAAAATCCTTCACAGATCTGAAAGAGGACATGAAAGACGTGTTTGACTCTTGCGCAATTCCACCTACCAACGTCATCCTCTTGCGGAAACTCCCATCTGGAACTGCTTCATTGCTTTCAGTGGGTGTGAAACCTTTCTTAAGAAAGGAAGCAAGGGAGAAAAAGACTGAGGAATTCTAAATTGCACAAGAACTGGACTGAAAGCAAACTGGCTTCATTTTTCAGGATGACAATAATTTCAAAAATGCTGACAATGTAATCTGTATGCCTGAATTGAAAAAACAGAAAACAAACAAACAAGAAAAAAAAAAAAAAAGCCAATGTCAGTTAGGCTTCTTTCGACCCAGACATTAACATGACTTTAGCTCTCTGGGGTCAGCTTGTGAAAACAAAAACCCAGAAAAGAATGACAAAACCTACAGAAGCACTTTAGAATCTCACCGTAGTGTAGCCTGGAAAACTTTCACTGAAGTCTGCTTAAAGAAAACAGCCTTAAAAGCCATTAAAATTGTTTTGAGTTTTTGTTTTGTGAATTGTAAAACCCATTTTCCAATGAGATGAGGCATGGATCAACAGTTTTCAGGTGGATTTAAAAGCTGCATTATAAAAAAAATACAACACAAAAGAGGAGCCGAAATTTCATCGAGTCGCTCTCACACATTTCTGGCTTTCTCAAACTGATGAGCAATTTTTAGTGCGGTGCTGTTCAGTCCCACAGACTGCATGTTCGTGATAACGGTGACCACCACTCCTTGGGGGAGGTAGAGAGTCCGTCCCTGGCGTTGGTCCATCTCGTCACTGGGTAACACCAGAAGAACGCTGCTGGCCCCCACGGCTCCCCCTGTGTGGGACACGTAATGCCTGCGCTTCCTGCACTGACCATACTTCTGCAGCTTCTCCACCACCAGCCAGCCTTGGCCGTACAGACCATCGGTATCCCAGGAGGCTTCCGTCTTGTCGACTGGCGTCCACAGCTCTATGGCTGACTTGGGTTTCAGAAAACCAGGGAGCAACCCCTCCGTGTCCTTCAGGTGGGCCACCTGGTAGCCGTAGAGCAGAGCGTTGCCAAACAGCAGCAGGTCTCCCACTGTGGAGAGGAAGCCGCCTCCGGCCCATTTGTAGGAGACGTCTACGTACGGGCAGTTTACAACTCGCCCTCGCTTGTTGAGGTGATAAAATCTGTGGAGGAACCAATAAGCAGGAGATCTTTTGGTTTTAATGCATTAACTAAAAATAAATAAATTCTACTCAAATAACACATGGATTCATGTAATGGTTTACACTTTAACATACAACCCCAGGCTTTATCATATTTTATTAGTACACGACTGAAGTAGAAGGAAAATCCAATGCTATGTTTGGGGTTGTGCCATTCTGTAGTTTTATATTGGCAGTAATCTGTGAGATGCCGAAAGCTTGAGATATTGTTTAATTGCATAATTTGAGAATATGCTGAAATTGATTTACATGCATATAGGCTACATTTATGTTTATGGAGAATTATGTGATTTCTAAAGGTTGTTTGGATCCTATTTAGGATTATAAAGAATAAACGGGGCCGAATACCAACGCATGCCACATATTTGTAAACAATTTCAACCAAATAATTCTTATTTCACTCCCCAGTAATTCATTACTTTGTGCAAAATCCCAGTGAAATACACTGATGTATGTAGTTGTGACGTGACAAAATATTAAAAAAAAGGTTAAAGAGGTGTGGATGCTTTTGCAAGGCGATGTAGAGGACAGAAACAAAATATATATACATATATATAAAAAAAATAGATTGCCTGGAGCGATGATATATAATGGGGTCATTCTCATCTGGAACTGTATTGTGCATTCCCAGCTCCCGAAACATGTCCTTCATGATATCCAGGAAGCGCTGGTTCGCAGCCCGCTCCAAAACGGCACTCAGCAGTGTGAAAGCGTGAGTGGAGTAGAGGAAAGTGGTTCCTACAATCCAGCCAAAACGTCATTCGGGCTGATTAACACTGAAAATTTATCGTCAAAAATTGTTTTGTAAAAAAATTTGCTTACCGGGTTTGAAAATGAGCGGGTCGTCCTTAAAAAGGTCCAAGGACTTCGTAACGCTTTCATAATTGTCTTTTATGTAGTATTCTTCGTGTTCAAACTCCTTTTTCCGCTGAGCCTGAGTGGATTCTTTACCTTTAGATGTTGGATCTCCTCCGGGTTTGTCTCTGTTGTCAGGTAAGCGCTTCTCATCGTCTCTCTGTTTACTTGTGCCTGAATCAAAGCAGAAACATAAGAGGAGGCCAGGCTTTTGCAATATCTGCCCCCAAAATTGTGGAATAATCTGCCTTTCCCCATCCAGCAGGTCTCTTCTCACTGAGCTAAAGGATGTTCTTTCAACAGATTTATTTGGTTTAGCACATCCTGAGAGGTTGACTCCGTTTTAACTACCTTCTTTTGTCTATTTTAACTTGTCTGTAGATCTTTGGTTATTTTAAAGTGCTTTATAGATAAAAGTGGTGTGGTACCTGGATGCTTTAGAAGTCGCTTGGCTTTCTCTTTGTCCTCCTTAACTTTCTTTGCATCCTTCTCATAGTGCCTTATGCCACTTAGGTGTGACAGTATCATACGAGAAGTTATTGTAACCTGAAAAAATAAACAACAAAAAAAAGCTAAATTTGATTTACCATGGCTAGTTACAAGTATTAGAATAAGTCATTTTCCTATATCCATAAATAACTTACATCTTTTCCATCAAACTGTTTCTGAGGAAACTCTGGCACATATTTCTGGACGGGGGCATCAAGATCAAGTTTCCCTTCTTCGCACAGTCGCGCAGCAGCTGCAGTTGTGAGGGACTTACTGATGCTGGCGATCCGCATCACCGTATCGGGAGTGCATGGGACACGATTCTCCAAATCAGCATAGCCGATGCCTGGATCAGATCAGCAGCTTCAGTGATTGCAGGGTGTGTAAAAAGAGTTTCATAGATGTGCTTTGAATGTGCAACAAAGCCGTTTACAGGCAAGATTAGCGGTTGTGCAAGACCTGCAGAGTCAGGTTTATTCAAAACCACCTTGACTTTGGTTTTACTCCATCATTTCAATTTCCTTTCTGCATGCAAGCCAACTTCAACCTTTCTCCCAAATGATTGCATTACTGTGTTACTTTGCTGAAACAGATTCTAATACAATTTTTGCATTCCTCTTTGCTAATTCTTGTCAGACAATATACATATTCAAGTGCTCAGGGGCAATGTTATGCCTTATAGTTATTAGGAACTGGTGCAGTGAAATAGCTCTTTTTTGCAGCAGTGTGTTGAAACTAATGAAGTTACAGATAAGAAAGACTACTTCCCAATATTAAAATAACATAAAAAAAGTGCAACTTGCACAATATATTGTGCAAGCATATACGTCTTGACTTCATAATTATTTTTTTTCAGTGTTACTTTTTTTTAATTTGCTGGAAATGGTAAAAAAAAATATATATATATATGCACATTTTTCTCTAGCAGATGTGTGGAACTACCCTGTAAATTTTCTGTAACAAGGTAAAGCAAAGTGCCTTGAACTTGCTCCTTCTGTATTTTGTTAATTATTTGGTGAGAACACGGCATTAAAACTTGACACTCTCTAGACGTAGGCGCAATAAGCACCTGACCCAGCAACCAAGATTTTAACAGTATCTAAAATTCAAATATGCGACATCAGGCCATCATTGAGGAAGTTTTATTGAATTTCCCCACAGCAAACATTTATTGTTTTCTGACTTCAACTGGTGGCAAATTTTGCAAACTCCTGCTGTCATGTTTAGATATTACCCATTTATTAACCTTTGTAATGATTCACAAAGCAAAAATAATAATAAAAAAATACCCCCAAAGATATAAGTAACCACTGAGGAACAAAGTTTAAATTGGTGGAAAGATGAAAGCCATAACTTTCTTACATGAAGAGGCAGCCATCATTTGACTGCTTCCTATCACTGAAAACTAGAGAAAAATACCATTTAGATATAAACACCCACAACAACTTTAAAACTTCTACTAAAAGATGCCATTGTCCAGCTGGAAGGTGAACCTGCACCCATGTCTAACAGGTTTTCCTCCAAGGATTGCATCTCTGCGAAAGAAAACCTCCTCCACAGCATGGTGCTGCCACCACCAGGTCCCTGCTGACATATTACACTAATCCCCAAAGAAATACACTAAAGTTTATACTCGCAACATGACAAAACGTGGAAATGTTTGCAGTGGATTTGATAACAGCCTTCCCATTGTCACCATAGAAACTTTGTCTCCAGTATGCAAAATAAAACTGCAACATTGTTGCCAGGTATTTTTGTTCCGATACATTTTTACTCCGAGTTGTAGCTTCATGCTGGACTGTTTTATCACCCACCTTCAGACCACACTTGAACACCGTCCACTGCAACCCCAACTATCAGTCCAGGAGCTCCGACCTCAGCCTAATAATAGGAGAGATAATTAGTAATAATAATAATAAAGATAAGGTGTCTGTCTCTAACCAAGTTAGTTTCAGAGGCCTACCTCTTTGCCTACCTTTATCCGCTCCAGGAGGTCTCTGCTCACTTCTATGGCGTCTGTGTACGGATGAGTCTTTTGTGCTATTTCAACTTTATCATCACATGAGCTGTTTGCAGAGTCGGACCTGTATTTTAGACCTACTGCTAAAACAATGCCCGCACCAACACCATACAGCCACGTTCTGGACTTTAATCGGCGTTTGAAATTGAAAATGCCCCCGACAAAAAAACGCGTCTGCGTCCGAATAAAAACACATTTCGCCTGCGGCGTTAGTAAGAGAGACCGGGGCGCTGGCAGCGGGGAGCACTTGGCACAAAAGCGACGATATAAAGACATTCGAAACATTATGGAGAAAACGCTCCGCTTTAAATGTTTGCAACGGCTCGCATTTGTCTGTTAACTTACGGGGAGTATTCCTTAACAGTCAGCCGGTGGATCACATGGGAAGAAGGGGTGACAGCGCGGTGTGGGAGGAGTTTTCCTCTTTAAATGGAGTGCAAAGTGTTGAGAACTACTCTTTAAATGTTTTCACATTTTGTTGCTCACAAAAAGCATCACTTAAAAGCATGAAGAAATTACATGCTATGTAACATAATAACATAAAAGAAAACATTCTTTTTTAAAATGATCACATTTACGAAAAGATTAAGTTCAAACATAATGGAAATGTGCAAAGTAAGCAGCCAGAGTGAGTGTACGACACTGACCTTTTAACATGTTAGATAACTTTGAGTGAATTGTGACTTAATCGAGGGGACAATGTACACTCAGAGCGTGCAATGAGTCACTCGATGACCTTGACCCTGTGGCAAACATTGATGTTTTCAGCCGAGTTCCCAGAACTGATGAGCATAAAACAGAAAATATCAGCTGTCATTTATTTTTGGTCCTGTAGGCGGTGTCTGGTGACATATAGGTCAACAATTTCATGCTGACCACTCATCATAGCATAAATTTTAAATTCTACAATTTGAAAAAAAGGAGGCTGACCAGTTGCTTAAGGACTAGTGTGATGTTTTGGTGTCGGTAAAGATTGGGAGAAACGTGGCTGAGACACTTGATTATAAAGGTTTTTTGGAAATTAAAAACAGATTGCACATATTTCTAAACAGCTGTTTTTCCCTTGTTTTTTATGTGATACTGCATGTAGATCTTTGATAGAATACATACTGAAACAGCTGCAGAAGTATGAGATGAAATTTTGAAATGGTGAAGGGGTGTTAGTGGCACTATAAACTACTGGGTATCACATGCTCACAAACGCAGAGCCGACTCCATGAAGTTATAAATTACTTAGAATAATATTTTATTTTTGACACGTAAGTAACTCTGTTATCTTTATATCGGACTGTGATCGGTTTGTGAAGGCCCGTTTGAAATTGTGTACAAAACCACGCCCACCCGCCTCAAAATTTTTTTTTTCGCCGGATGATAAATGGTGCAGATCCACTTACATACTTCCTGTTTGAGCAAACAAGGCCAACATAATCAAATCCCAGCTCAGGCAAAAGTCGAGCGTAAGGTTTTGCAGAAGAACACCGGAGATCTCTCGAAATGAAAGTTAAAGCCATGAGTTTTATTTTTTCAAACGTGAAAATTATTTGAACATTCAGAATATTCTGCTCCGCTCACTTAGAATTGAAGGTTAATTCATTTGTAATGGTTATCTACTTTCAAAAACACAGAAAAAAAAAATCCGTAGTTATACTAGTAATGTTATGTCTATAGTCATTTACAGCTTTAGGCATTTTCCAATGAAAAAGTAGTAATTTTTATCCATATTTGTTTTTTCATTTAATCATTTACCTTTTCAAAAGTCTACCGAGTTTGCAAACCCTTTTTCTCCCTTTAAACCAGGACTATAGTTTGGTCACTCCAAAATATGCTTCCAGTCTAAATTATTGGTTGAAACCTACTTCTGTAAAATTTAGGATTACAGTATTTGGCCAAAGATTGTTTTTCAACTCACAATTAGCCCCGTTATGTTATTGTGTGATGGATAAGACGACGCAGCATGCACCGCATTGTTGGAAAACTTTCAAAACGTGGTTTTATTTATTATCAATTTATACATTTCAAATATGTTGCACACTCAAAACATCTAATTTTAAAATAAAACTAAAATGATGCACAGCCAAATGACTGAAATTGTGACAAGAATTTAAACCATGGATTTTAAAGAACATTAAATTTCCAAATACTGTAATGCACAATGGAATCAACAACACAGTAGCACCAGTATACATACAGACAGGCAAAGCCTGTTTAAAGTTATTCTTTGGGGAAAAAAAAAAAAAAAAAAAAAAATCTTTTGTATATGGAAAATATCAAGTTTGACTAAGTGCAAAACATTTGTACTTCATCCTTTGGTCTGTGCTTAAGCTTGGAAATCCAGATTATCTTTATTGCAGATGTAGAAAACAGTCCATCACAAATTTTGCATGCCACATCACCAGATGAAATGTCAGAAAGCTAAAAAAACAAAACAAAAAAGACAAAAAAAAAAAAAAAACTACATACTTCATTGACTGAAAAAGGCAGAGGTAAAAATCATTTTTATTTTATTGATAAAAAAGGGTCTGGCTATGCTTTAACTCTCCTTAGCTAGGCTCCTGGGTTGAGTTCCGCTGAAGGCAGGACTGTGCGTTCAAAATAGCAACTGGCTATTTTCTTCACCAGCTTTGGAGAGGAATAAGACGACGGGGTTCTGATAAGCAAGGTGCAAATACAAAAAGCCAAACCGCTACACATGTGAGTGTGGGTGTGTGGAGAGGATTGGGGGGGGGGCAGGTGAACGATGTGCATTCACAAGTTATTCAGTTCAATTAGAGTCTGGTCCAGCATCTGGTGCATATCCAGATTTTCTTCTTTAGCTTGTGACAGTTTCTCTGTTAGAACATAAAAAAAAATAAGACATTTTCAACTCACAAACAAGGACAAGTGACTCAGTGAGTTAGCTTTCATTAATAATCAAGCTGGCAACTCATCTAGATCAGTTGATTATTGATTGACTTGCACAATGCCACAGAACTGACCAAACAAGAGAGGCACAATTATGATATGCAAGCTACCATGCAAACGTACTACATGTACTAGCTGCTACAAGTACATAAACAAAGTTAAAATGTTTTTGTAATTGCGTTACAATCTAGAACTCGAGTCACAAACTCCAGTCCTCAAAGTCTGGAGTTTATAAGTTCTGCAGTTTTTAGATGCCCCTTTGCTTTAGCACACCTATATAAAAATAACTATACAATTAAAAAGGGCTGTTAAACTTGGCTGCATGCTAAAGAGTCAGTTCAGCCATTTATTTCAGTTGTGTTGGACAGGGGTACATCTAAAAATTGCAGGATAAAGGACCAGAGTTTGAGACTCCTGGTCTAGAAGGTTATATTTTCAAATAAACACAAAGTCAAATGATGACTCGGACAGAATGAATAAAAACCACAAACAAAGAAATAGGAAAATTAGTTCAAAAAGAGTTTTAGAGTACAAGCGCCCAGTAATAAATTGAAACAGCTTTGTGAAAATCTTTTGTTAGTTTTGAAACTATTGGTCTACACTGGACTGCAGACGGTAAGAAAGGAATGCATCACATACCCCTTATGATGGTGCTACAAGATATAAACTAGAAAATGTACTTTGAATTTAACAAAATGATTGAGAAAAACATTTAACATCTTATTCTTTCATAGTCTCCATTTACCAGGTTACTAGGCGGTTTTTGTTAGTGAGATACTGCCGTTTAATTTTGCAGCTTTAACACCCACAAGTGAGAATATGTCCCATGTAAATATCATTGAGAATGTAAAGGATAAGGTGTAATTCATATTCTCTTGATTATATCTTCAGTTTTGTTTTTTCATTAAGAATGTTCACAACAAGTATCTAAAAAAATGTAGCTATAAAAAATTATATCAAATACCATTTCTCACCTCTTCAAGATTTTACATTGCAGAAGCTAAACTTAGCCATTTTTTACACAAAGCAGAGATGTTGGATCCCAAGTATTGGATCAAGGTACCAATCAAGGTTCTTTAATTGATGTACACCCAACTCCTGAAATGCTGTAGCGTTAACTGCCTGAAACTACGAACTGAATGAAACAGACCCAGAATCTGTCATCGAGTATTTATTCAAATTCAAAGACAGTCTTATGTAACACACAAAGCGCATTTGTTGAGTTAATAGCAACTTCCTTCAATTTTGCCATCACCGGATGAAGCTCCACAACTCTTACATGTTCTCTATTTGACCAAACTACACTTTTCTACAATCTTCCTGACAATGACTCAGCAGTGAAGTTCTCCATCTCTCAGATACTTCTATCAGTCACCTTCTATACTTCACTGAACGCATGCATCAGTTGCTACTTGGCTCGGTTTTCAACCACCTGAAGTTGCCGTCTCTTTAATGCCAACAGCACCATTTTTGATGTTTTATACTTTTGCTTCACAGAACAATAGTTGAAGAAAAGAATGGACATTAATTAAAATCTATTAAATTACATTTTTGGAAAATAGGAGGTAAAAGGTTTCATGAGATGAGACAAAATGACGGCATGATGGATTTGCTAGTGCCAGACTAGGCAGACAAAAAAAGGGACAGAGTAAAGAGATACAGCTTACATAGAAGGAAGGATGTTTATTTTTAACAACGCAGGAAGATTCTAGGGTTCTGTACAAGTGGTGGGGTGCAACGGAGTTGACAATATGATGAGGAAAGAAAAGCAAAGACAGGGAGGAAAAGGAAAATGGAGAGCAGTCTGGAGAGAGCAGACAGGTTCTGCTCGGGCAGAAGGAGGCATCTTTGATGAGATGTAAATTTATCTGTGTGGAAGAAGAGAAGCACAGTGAACCCATGGAGGTTGGCGTTTGGACCTACAGCAATAAACCACAACCTGAGGAGTCACACTGACACACTACAGCAAAAGACACAATACATAATTAAATGAATTGTTTGTGCAGCAAAACAAGAATGGTGCTTTTCATTTATCAGAATGAGCTAGTGACTTTTTTTTTTTTTTGAAGTGGAGTTATGGAGAGTATTTACAAGCGGTGAGTATCTTACATATAGCAGGCCAGAGTCACACTAATCTTAACTTGGCTATCAATGCGTTTCATCTGAAGTCGAACACTCCAGGTTTAAGGTTTGGAAGGTAAGAAACTACTTGTACGTACTCCTCAAACTCACTTCAAAACCAATACAAACAATCCCATTGACTTAGCAAAACTGAGGGCTCAGCCACAGTGATGCTATACACCGACAACTAACCTTGAGCTGGTACAGTGACAGAACGAAGGGCAAAAATCATGAACATGCATGAGGCCTTTCTTCTGGACAGAAGTAGACCATATTAGTGAAAAAGTAAACAAAGCAGAACCATCAACCAGAGCCGTTGAAATGCCTTCACTGTCTAGTTTCGGTAAGCAGCCTGGAAACTCGGATATTAACTCAACATCTTAAGAATTAGGCATTTTGGAACAAAAATGCATGAGAACAGAAAAAAGTACAACGATAATTCATGTAAAAGATTAAATGCATTTTTCTGGTTTTTGCATTTTTCTGTCCATGCATAGAGTTACTTCAGTCCTGTTGACAGTAAACTGAAAGAGTGTGATTTATAAAGGCAGACCATTTTGAGTCAGAATTGTTGCAAACTGACTCGAGCCACATGCAGATAAAATTGGGAAATATCCGTTTTAGCACTTGAACTTAAAAATAAAGATGAGCTAAATCGGATAGAACAACTCCAGTGGGTGAACATAATATGGAGACAAAGTTGAACAGGCAGTCGGGCGAAGAGGTGAGGAGCGCGACAGTAAAACAAGCAGGTGTCGAAAGGCATAAATTACATGGAAGTCATGTCGTTGAGGGCATGGTCCAGCTCCTCGCTGATGGCTTTGTACTTCAGTTTCTGGGAGTACAACTCATCTATTGGGTGGGGCAGAGGAGTGAAGGGAGTGTGCAGTGGAGGCAGAGCAAAGGAGGTGGAGGGAGGAAACGAAAAGGAGGCAAAAGGTGGAGGATCCAAGCCATAGAACGTATAGAGAAGAAGACAGGAGGAGAAAATGGAAACAATCAAAACAGGAGTCCCTTTGCACTTGAATTGGATTGAGCATGGAAAGTACTCCTGGGTTTAATGGATGTTTTTCCCTTAGGTATATACATTACATTCTGCAAGACATATTTCTGCTACATGGAAGGAAAAACTTACTGGTGATACCTTCACACAACCTCCCTTTGAAAACATCCAAATATTATTTTTAAACTATGAGGTAACATCTAACCCTGCTTTCAGATTTAACACAAAAGGATGTGTTACCACATTAGATGACGCTGCCTGAAATAAAGACTTAATGTCGTCAAGAGGACAGCAGAAGAAAAAGGAGATGGATCCACATTTAAATAACAGGAGGCAAATATATTGCGACGAAAAAGCTCACCTTCCAAGTCATCAATGGTCTTCTCAAGCTTGGCTACTGATCTCTCAGCGAACTCAGCACGAGTCTCAGCCTGTAATGTAGAGACGCATCAAGTCCAACACTTGAACTGTGATTCAACACCTCTGGCTTGGTCATCTCAGTTCAAATTAAAGAAACTTTACCTCCTTCAGCTTGTCGGTGAGGACCTTGATCTCCTCCTCATACTTGTCTTCCTTCTGTGAGTACTGATGAGCGAAAACGGAAACAACAGCGTCAAATATAGGAGCTCAAATCTGCTGTCCACATTCATAGAAAAACGCATTAGCTGAAACTTAAAGACTTGACTCCTCTGTCTCCCCAGTTCGCAGTCTTGAAGCAGAAAAGGTGCAACAGCATGCAGAGGCCCAGAAAGTCACGCTTACCTTCTCTGCCTGGGCCTCCAGTGACTTCAGGTTGTTGGTCACAGTTTTCAACTCTTCCTCAAGTTCAGCGCATTTGCTGGTGTTTTAAACAAGATACAAAGCCAAGGATGCAAAGAAGGATAAGGGAGGGGATTTTAAAATAAAAACAAAAAGAAAAGGGTGGGAACAAGGATGGACAGAAGCACAGGTAGACACAGAATGGGTCCATGGGAAATGAGAAAAATGGAGAGAGGAACCGAATAAGAAATACAGGAAATCCCCCCAAAAAACATAAAAATGCCTCAACAGAGCAGTAATGTGAGAACAGCATAGTGAATTTAGTAGTGTTATTGTCAAGTCAATGCTTTGCATTCAAGTGTCATGCAATTTGTTTGGACGTTATTCTTGCTCAGCTCTCTGCTATGTTAGGCATTAAAAAAAAAAAAGTCTAAAACATCCAGGAAAAAAGGCGTGAAAGGAACAAGCACAGTGGGCAAAGCAAATGCAGCAGGGCAGACGGTGAGATAAGCCACTCAGTAATCGCATTCGGTTGGTTGTACCTGTGTAACTGTGGAATTTAGCGATTTCAGGCTTTGCTCCAATACCCTTAGCTCGTCCTCCACTTTCTGAGCGCGCCTGTTAGTGGGCGTGGCGCACGTGCACAAGCCACAACCATTAATAAGGAGATGGGCATGCAAATGACAGTAAGAACACAGTGCACACTGTCTAAATAAAAACAAGTCCTGCAGTGTGGGTATTAATACAGAAAGCTTTTTAAAAACGTGAACATTCCGGCATCCATGCATGTGTAAGTGCAGATTCAGAGCGCACGGGAGTGAAAGCGCTCACCTTTCTGACAGCTCAGCGCGCTCCTCTGTACGTTCCAGGTCACCCTCAATGATGACCAGTTTACGTGCAACCTGGGGGTGCAGCACAACAAAGTGTTACGCCGCAAAACAGCAGCTTAAAAACGGCCATAGAAGGTAAGGATTGTTGCAAGCGAGTATCCAAATTTTTTTTTTTTTTTTTTAAGAACTCGCCTCCTCATATTTGCGATCTGCCTCCTCAGCAATGTGTTTGGCCTCTTTCAGCTGGATCTCCTGGATCTCCATCTTCTCCTCATCCTTCATGGCCCTGTTCTCAATGACCTTCATGCCTCTGTGTAATGATGCAAACAGATCGGGAATCAGGGGTTGACAGTTTATACCCGTGTAAACCCAGGCAGCATGAGCTGGTTTGGTTCTCAGCAAATGTATTCAGACCCACTGAACTTTGTCACATATATGTGGTCATATTCAAACCACAAGGCTGAAAAATAAATGTCTGAAAAGTGTGGCATGCTTTTGTCTTCAGCCACTTTAACACTCTCAGATAAAATCTGGTGCAACCAATTAGTTTTAAAAGCTTACTTATTATCTGTGAAAGGAATTTATTCCAAGTATAAATACAGCTCAGTTGTTTGTACCTTGTTGGAGAATGTTACTGAACAGCAGCAGAACGGCCAGGGATGAAGTTGGGAAAAAGTTTAAAACCAAGTTTAAACACTAGTCCGTTAAAAATGTTGTGAAATACCGATACACCTACCCACTGCAGAAGAATGTCAAGGCCACTGTCGAATGAAACCCAAAATTCCCGTTTACATTTTAGAAAAAGTCATGTAGGGAACATAAACATGTGAATGGAGTTGTCCGGTCAGATGAGACCAAACAAACTTTTTGACCATGTGTAATGCTGCCATGTGAAGCTGCACATGGCTCTGAAAATGATCCGTTTCGTTCCAATTCACAATAATTCAAGACATCTAGTTGGTGTTTTGACATCAAATAATAAAGCATATTGATTTTTGTAGCTGTAATGTATAGGACACGATAAAGCTCAAGGGGTTTGAATAGTCTCACAAGGAACTGTAAATGTTTTACTTTAGATGGCTGATGAGGTGGCGGTTAGTGCTCCATATAAACAGAATGAAAACAAGGCAATCCCCAGAACTTATTGGGATTGATGAAACAATCCAGGACCCACCTCTCGCTCTCATCTGCAGCCTTCTCAGCCTCCTCCAGCTTCTGCAGGGCTGTGGCCAGACGCTCCTGAGCACGATCCAACTCCTCCTCAACCAGCTGGATACGTCTGTTCAGGGAAGCGACATCTGCCTCAGCCTAGGGACAGAACGGAAGAGCAGCAGATGAGGACACTGCAGAGAGCTTCACCTCGTAACCCGGACTCAGACATTACACATCAGCCCAAAGGAAGTATGTGGTAGATTTGTGAACTTATCTTGATGTGAGAGAAACAAAAATGATCAGAAGTGTTCCTTTGTGCTGCCTGGTGGGAGGCTACTATATTGACTTGTTATACTAATGATGCCCCAAACTGGCGAAGGGTTGAACACTGCACTTCGTTAGATGCCCCACTGAGAGCATTAACAGTCAATAAGCCTGACATTGCTCCGGATCTTTAGTATTTACCAACTATGTAGAGATGATAAGCAAGCTGGAAATTTTGGAAGAGAAGGAATTTGAGGTTTGCACTTTTCCAGGGCAATGCAAATAAAATTTTTCTCCCAATACTGACAAATAAAATAGAACAAATGCAGTTTTGAAGCCACTACATGAATTAAGTACCTCATCTCCATTCATAAGTCAAAGAATATCCCCAACTTTTAACAGTCACATATTTAAAATTGGGAAGAAATGTGACTTTTTTTTAGTGCAATTAATGAATGGGAACATATACATGTTTGCACTTTTTGACTTGCCAATCAAATAATAAAAAAAGTCAGATTCCGACAGATGCACAAATCGATATCTGGCTGATCAATTTGTGTGTCTGTCTAAATTTAATTTAAAAAGGAGAAGGCCGTTTTGTTTTCATCAGGGCTTGCTGCTAACTTCTGCATTCTGCTGTGTGCTCAGCAGGTATGAGGCTATTCTTGAAATGCATTACGCATCCACCAGACCACAAAAGTCCTTTTTCCCCCCCCAGGCCATTTCCCCTGCAGCTCGAGTCAAAACGAGCAGTGCAGGTACTCAAGTTTAGAAACTGCAACAAGTGAGAAACTCCCTTCAGTACACCTGAGTAGGCTACGCTCTGACGGCTGAGAGGGGGACTGAGAAACATTCAGTCCCCCTCATTTCTATCGCCGCTATGCTCTGTGGCAGTGCAACCTCCTGCCCTTATATGGGCAAGTCAAAGAGCACAAGCTGACAGAGCAGGATGGCACATTAAATGTTACCACAGTTTAAGCAGCTACTTCCTGGTGTTTGGGAGATTATTCAAATCTTTGGGCTTTTGGTCCCATTTTTAGAAAGCAGGTTGCCTGGAACAGGGAAGTGCTTGAAAGTGGAGCAAAGTCAGGAGATGAGGCAACGCAATGATACAACGTACCGCACTGCTCAACGGTCGCTACACCATCAGCGGCCTAAAGCTGTCAATTACGCGCACTCGGGATTTCAAACCCTCATCTGTGACTTAAAGTGACACAGCCCGGAGTAGAGCAAAGCTCAGCTTATAGCACTGCGGGGCATCCAGATAAATCCAGCCATCTCACAACCAGAACACTTCCCCTCTCCCCCCTAATTTTTTGAAACGATTCATAGACGCGCAGGAAATGTTACTTGAGCCATGCCTCTTTTTTTGCGCTTGATGCGCAGGTACGCGCGGTCAACATGCTTACTTGTTCTTTGGCTTTCCTCTGTGCAAGCAGATCCTTCTGTAACCTCTCGGCTCTGTCTTCAGCACCGTCAACCTGCTCTTGCAGCGATTTAATCCTCCGTTTGACCGCGTCCAGCGATTTAGCTCCAGCCATTATTGTTTTTTTTTATTTGACAACGAACAACTGCTTTAAATATTCGAGACTGCCCTCGCAGCTGCAGTTACTTTCTGACAAATTGTCAAGAGACGGAATGACGTATTTGCAGCGCGCAGTCAGAGAGACGCGCTCTGCAAAGCTTTTTTTTTTTTTTTTTTTTGTCCAGGAAGTTAACGCTGATTTCAACACACCGTCTTTCAAAAAAGAGATAAAACGACTGTTCTGGAGTGTTGTGCAAACTTTTGCACGGAACAAATGTCAAAAGAAGTGGTAAAAATGTGACAGCTTTGAACAGAAAACAAGATAGCTAAGCGATTTTAGTCCGAAGTGTTTGAATGCAATTTAATTGATTCAAGCAGCATGACACTAACGGAACTACAGCGCCCTCTGCGGACCTAACGAGAGCAGTGCCTGAACTATTCTGAGGCTACAAACCGCTTCAGTGAGTTTTTTCCTGAAGCCCAGGATGCTGTAATTACAGGGTAAAAGTATAAAGCTTTAAAAATATGACAGACAAAACCTACAGCTACAAAAACAGACCACGATTCTGAATTCATTTAATAACTCACCCCATATAACCCCTTCCCCCACCCCCCCGAAAATAAATGTAATCACCAATTTGATTTGTATTTTAGTTAAAACTCCAAAAAAAAAATCCTTGTACGAAGTACAATTGAATAGTTAAACTAAGATAACAATGTTTTTTAAAAGTTTTTTCTTTAATGTATTTATCTAAATGTGATTTCAGGTATCCAACCTGAGATAAACGAATGGAATTAGAGCGCCATCTGGGGGTTCACTGTGAGCAGTACAGTCCTTGTAATAAAATGCATTTGGGGTTCAGACGGTTTCAGCGTTTTTCCTGAGCCCAAACTGTACTAATTACAGAGTGAGGATTTTTTTTTTCAACATTTTAAATATCTCTAAAATATCTTAAATAAGTGACATAACTCTACGAACAAATATAGTGTTGGGTAAAAATTCAGTCACAAATAGTACGCCACGCGTCACCTTGAAATAAAATTCACCATCAAATAATCCAAGAGGGTAAAACTCAAAACACTCTGACAGACTTTGTCTTAATTCCCCGTGTGGAATCCAATTAAAGGATTATTCCAACGTGTTTCCCCCCCTCGGTGGCTCAGTGCAACCTAATTGACTTTTAGAAGCATAAACTTCTCTTGTCTGCCGCACTAGGATCTGGCCGACACCCAGTTTTTGTCATTAACGGGCACCATTGTTGGAGGACATGTTCCTTCTATCACAAAGTCTATACATCAAAGCTGACATACAAGAAATATATGGGAGGAAAAACGATCAAAAATGTGTTTAATTGTTATTTTTGAAATCTACACGCTGTTTTGTACTTATTTGAGTGGGAAGTGCGGTTTTTTTTGTCTGTGGTAAGCAGAAGCGCGCAGCCCACTGATCTGAGCTCTATCTTGACCATATAAAGCAGTGGGCTATATTTATCTAGGCGCTGCCTCTGCGAGCTTGGGAATTCTACACATTAGGCTACAGGCTTCACTCACTCTGGAAAAAAAACACAAAAAAAAACAAAACAAAAAAACAACATAAGCTGGGAAGATTTAGCTTATTTCCTAACAGGACTGGCGGAGTTCAACGTGGAAATCCTCACATAAATACATAAATATATATATATTATATATATTTATAACCACATATTTGACTTTCTTTGGGCTGACTTGAAAGTGATTTGTGGAGAAACATTTAGCGACAGTTCAACAGTTACTACAAAATCAAAAAAAATGATAGATAAATGATCAATTTCCAACTCTAGCAGTGGTGCCAAACGCACCACCAAACTCTTATCTGTGCTGTTGAACTGTCGCCCTCAGTCCCAGATGAGAACAGTGAAGATGTGAAGCGGCGTGGTGGGAGAAGGGTGCCTCTGCGAACACGCGTCCATGTACTTACATCGGTGGCTTTCTTCTCAGCCAGCTCAAGCTTCTCCTGGGCATCTTTAAGAGCCTCAGAGTACTTGTCCAGCTCATCCTCAGTTCCCTTCAACTTCTTCTGCAGAGCCACCAAGTCGTCCTCAAGCTGATTTTATGTTATTGTTATATATATATATTTTTTTCATGTGCAGGAGAGGTTCAGAGGTGATCGGCGGAGAAAGGGAGTGGCGTGAGTGCGCAGGGGCGCAAGAGCGCACACGGAGAGACAGGAGAGGACAGGACAGAGAGAAGACAGGGAGAGAAGAAGAAGAAGTTAGGTAAGCTCATGCACTTCAGGTTCAGGTACCTTGGTAGCGGTCTCCTCAGCAGTCAACAGTTTTTCCTCAGCAGTTTGGAACTCCTCAAAAACTTTATCTCTCTCGTCCTCTGTAACACGCAATTTCTTTTCCAATTCTCTCATTTCTTCCTCTAACTACACATGCATGCAAAGAAATTATAAAGTTAAGCAAAAATATAATAATATACACATTTTTTCTTTTTTTTTTTTTTTTTTTTTTTTGCTTTTACACTTAACTAGCAACAGCTCCAAATCCATTACAAATAATGATCCATAGCTTTTTCTTTTTAGTGCTGCTCCTGGGCTTTTCGTGCTTCTCCATCAAACATAAAAAAAAGTGAAGAAAACTCATCCGACCTGTTTGCTTCTGTCCTCCGCTGCTTTCTTGTCTGACTCGGCCTGCTCAGCTCTGTCCAAGGCATTCTCCTTGTCGAGCTTGAGCATCTGCATCTTCTTCTTGATGGCATCCATGGCTGCTTATTTGCTGTGCTTCAACACCGACCAAAACGTCCAAAAGGGAGAGCAGGAGATGGGGCTGGGGGAGTCTGTGCCTGACGGAAGGCTGGGGCTGGACTGCGGGCTCTGCCTGACTTCGTGCTGTCAAATATGTTCTTCCACGGAGGGGGTGACTGGATTCCTGAGGACATCCAATACTCTCCGGGAGGAGGCGTGTGCGAGAGGGGAGCTGGGAGGTTTTTTTAAGGAGCTGCTCAGCGATTCGTACTTCCCAAACATTTGACTTTTGATACGTCTTTATATGGGAACTCCAAGCAAGCAGGCTACAGGAAATTCACTCTGAAATGCTACTGTTATTGACTGTGTTTAGGGCGAACATGTTAAAAACCAATTACCCCCCCCCACCCCCCCCGCTTAGAGCAGCCTTTTCTGTTTGTCTTTCTTAACCACTCTTTACAAAAGGGGGGTAAATTTGTCATTGTAAAGTCGTTTTTCTAGTGAATTCCAGGGATTTCAGTGATCCCAGACTGGGACTCTGGATCCCAAACTGCACTTAAAACAGCCTGACCTGGGTTTCCTTTGCTTTCCGTCTCCGTTTGAGCAAGAGCGTCCCCAGAAAATGTTGAAAGGGGTGGCCAAATTGTGGCGACTAATAATCCTGAGGGTGGTACATTAAAAAAGTTAAAACCATCAACATTTTCTATGATGTTGTTATACAGGTACATCTAAAAAAAAAAAAAGTAATGTATAAGGTATTTTCTTTAGTACATTAAAAAAATGAAACCCATATAAAATAAAGATTCATTACACAAAAAGAGGTGTATTTCTTATTTCTGTCCATCTTAGTGACTGCGACTTTAGAGTTAATGAAAGTCCAAATTCATGTTTCTCAGAAAAGTGGAATATTACAGAAAGCCAATAAAAAGATTCTTAATATAAAATATTAATATACACAGTCATGGGTAAGACTGTTAGCTTGACAGCTGCTCCGCCACAATATCTGACTCTTTCCACAAAGAGTGTAAGCCTGGCTATACATAGAGGGTTTTACCACAGGAAAGTTGAGTGGAAGGAAAAAGTGTGGTCAAAAAAAAAAAAATATGAGAGAATTGTGAAATGATGCCCAGTCAAGAGTTTGGGAGAGATTTACAAGAAACAGAATGTTGCCGGAGACAAGACCCACCAGACACAGACGTATCCAGGACACGAGCTACAACTGTTGCATTTCCTGTCTTGATCCATTGTCAGATCAGAGACTTCAAAAGTGCCTGATGTGGGCCAAAGAGAAAATATTCTGAACTGCTTCACTGAAATCCAAATTTTTTAGATACAAGTTGCTGAGCTCTAGAGTGAAGATTCCACTGTCGTCTGCCGGTGTTGGTCCACTGTGTTTTTCTGAAGGTCATTGTAGCCATCTACTTTTAGAGCACTTCATGCACCACTCTGCTGACAAGCTTTATGGAGATGTTTTTATCTTCAAGTAGGATTTAGCACTTGTCCACGCTGCCAAAAGTACCAGTAACCGCTTTAATGACCATGGCATCACCGTGGCTTATTAAACAGAAAAGCTGTCTGTCATAAAACCTCACTGATATATTTGAATTGAATTACTGAATTAAATAAACTTTCCAGTGAGGGCCACCGACACATAAATAACTCAGCTTAAAATGCTGGACGTAAGCCTAAAATGCATTCATTTGATAAACAAACACATTTATAAATAAGTCAATTAATCTGTTTGTGCTTCATTGAGTCTCATTTGTCCTGTATTGACTTCATGTGAGATACAATATTATTCACGTGTTTGGCTGGGTTATAGGGGCGGCCAATGCCACCACGGCCCTGTCTCGGTGGCACCACTGTGTCTGAACACATCTGTGTGGTGTTGGCAAGGGAGTGACAAACAGCATGGAGGAGAAGACATGCTTTCTGTAAGTCTATTGACACCTAGATGCATTGTTTGAAGTCACTGGGGCTCAACACAACCAAGTGTTTACCTGAAATTGTATCAGATATCAGTGAGGACAAGAGGGAGCTTAAACCTCAATTACAGCAGCTTAGTCTCTAATCTGTCTGTCATCTGGGAAATGTTAACTGGTATTCATGCTGCCAAATGAGAGTATTTGATTATACACACACACAATGAAAATTATTAAATATGCATCAATAGATTTTCAAATGCATTGATTGCAGATCCCACCTGTTTTGCTTTCATAAAATATATATATATAAAAAAATCAACTCTGAGAACTAAGGATACCCCAACTGTCTTGTAGCCGCCACAAGGATCCTCAAGAGTATTTTTAGGACTGCCTTCTCTTTCGTGCACCTGCCTTGGTCTGTAATCAAGACTTTAGACATAGTGCCAAGCGGTCTGGATCTAACAGCATTAGTTAGCGCTCCTAAAATATTCTTTGTCCTGTTCAGACTAAGCTCAGTTTTATAGATTATTTTGGCATTCCTACTCAAGCCAGTAAAGTATTAAATGAGCCGTCCCGTCTTCAGACTTTAACCAAGAGACATAAAATGTCATCATTTGAGACGAGGGGCGGAGACTGAATGTAGGATGTCATCATATTGCTTTGGTTTTCTCTCCTGCTAATTTTAGTGTTGCTCTTTTGGATATGATTGGAAGACTTTGTGGCCAAAGAAAAATTTCTGAGTCCATGTTTATGACATTTGCTTTTCATTAGCCTCTGTTGGCAATATATGTTTTAAAAATCTTTTTTATTTTGTAGCTTAAATAACTCGATGCAAATAAATATTAGGTAACCAGAACTTCATGGAGCCATTACTTTCATGTCTAAATGGTCATGGTGTTGGTATACAAAGCTATGCAAAGAATTTTGTCCTCTTACATGATTCTTCTGTTTTCGCTATATTTTGTCACATATTTGAGGACATCATACAAATAATTTAAACATTTGTTTGATGTCCTCAAATAAATTTTTATTGGACCACAATAAGTTGAGTAAAATGTGAAAATGTAATTACTTCATTTTCACATTTGTTTCCACCATTCCACCTTTGACGGGCACAACTGCTGCTGTCAAGTTTTTCACAACTAGCAAAGAGCTGTGGAGGAATTTGGGTCCACTCATCTTTGGAGAATTTCTTTAAGAGCCACACTGCAGGATTTTCAAGCATGAATGCCCTGTTTACAGTCAAGCAATGGATCGCAATAAAATTTAAGTCTAGATTTTTACTAGCTCACATCAGAATCTTCGTTCTGCTCTTTTTTTTCCTGAAATGTCTCTAAATAAAAACCCCACCAAATATAAGAAAATGCACAAAAGGCAGCAGTGGATTGCAACTTTCTGACTGATGCTGTTATTGCATAACTTTTCTTATTTTCGAATCAAGAACACTATGGATGGCAGTGGACTGGATGCAATTGATTTCACGTCTGAAATCAATTGCGTTTTTGTGCCAAGTAAGTGCAATCAGAATTTGAAAATGTTTATTTTCTCACATTGCGTCTCATCTTGAAAATGTTTGATAGCACTGTACAATCAAAACACTCTTTTAATCTTTATCATACAAATCAGATGTGGCCTTATATAATGCACAAACATACCTTTTGGATTCACGACAGCTAGATGTTCATACTTTAGGGTAAAACACCCAGCAGCATACTTTCGGTATTAGTTAAACAAATAAAAGGCAGCCTGTTGGAACTTAATTATCTTAAAAATCTCTTTCATTTAAAATTGTTGGATGGATTTCCTGTGGCACTTTGAGAAAGGAAATGAGCCATGCTGTGTGTTCCTGCGGTACATTAGCACAGTGAATAAAGCACAGGGTCTGTTATAGTTTGGAACAACATCCAAAGACTGCTGAAAATGTACTGAAAAAGTTCCGCGACGCATTCCATAGGAAAATCTGATGAAAATCAACAAAGCTTAAGTAAATAGCTCATAAATTTGTATTCTTTCATTTTATTTTATCCTGCACATCATGAGAACAGCATAAACTCCTTCAATATTTAAGGCTCAAGGCCTTTAGGAAAGCCACAGGCCAGCCAAAAGACATTTATTTTTCCCTGCTGCTGAAGTGAAAAAAAAAAAGAAGCTCTTGACATATAATTTTGTGGGGGGAAAAAAATGTGCTTCACAAGCACTTTGAGGCATTCCACTAGATCAGACAATGAATTTAAGCTACAGTTTGGCTCATTTTAAACTGGAATTAAAACAATGGGCCACTACAAATTAACACCAGCAGCATTGTTTTGGTTGAAACCCTCCCTCCCCTGAACACTTCTCATGTTTCCGAGAGCCATTAATCTCTGGAATAATGTTCCCCTTTAAATGGAAAATTCAGCTCAGCTGAGGAGATATCCCACTTCATTTCTCTCAGTTTCATTTTTGATCACCTTCCAGCCTAATCTGAAGTTTTCCAGTCAGATCTAAGGTTTCTCTAACATGCTGGAATTTTGTTTACCTCTCAGGATCGTGGTGGAGCGTTCTGAAGTGGGCCAGCAGCAGAGTGGGACAGGTGCAGCAACAGGTAAAGACATGCACATTAACGGCGTTATCCTTCCCAAAACTTTCTCAATCATGCATAACTTTCCTGCAAACATGCTTATAAAAAGCATGTTTGCATGCTTTTTATAAGCATGCAAACATGCATGCTTATAAAAAAGGGGTTGTTAAAAAAAATGATGGCATCCAAGAATCACTTGGGCACAACTCTGAGGTTACAAAATATTTATAGTCGTACTCTGAGTCAGAGTAGATGTGAAAAGCCAAACCCTAACCCTAATCCTAACCCGGAGGGGTTGTGGAAATCTTTTTTTTTTTAAACCCAGAGTTAAATCTTAAATTGTAATAATGAGACAGTGGCAGTAGTAAAACACATTATTTTCCCAGACAATAAACAGCACCCTTTCAAAATGCCTCATTAATTTGATCCTGTGTCACTACAGCCTGCAGTGTTTTTTGTGTAGCCTGCAAAATGTATTTAAACTTTCTCACATTTTTCTATGTAACAATGACAAATGTTAGCGTACCTTATTAAAATTTTATGTGATAGACCAACACAAGGCAGCACATAGGGATGCATCATTTCATCACCCCTGAATAAATCCTTTGCAAGTCCACCTATCTCAGGGAGACCATCTCCAGCC